TTAAAATTTTATCATGATTTATTCAGTCCAACATAGACTTGTATATACAAATTGATTTTCATATTTATATATGTTATGTACACTGCAAAAATAAAGCTACTGCGTGTGTTGCTATGTCCAAATGGTTTGTTTGTTGTTTATTGTACTTTCATTTGAAAGTAATGAATGGATTTAGAGTAGAACTGTCGAACACTTCCATTGTTAACTTATTGGACAGTCACAGGTAAGTCATTGTTATGCTTGGATGACTACCTGGCACTGTTCATAAAGTTAGGCCAAAGAAAACTAGTTTTTGTTTTCCTTCTTCTTTATAAGTATAGTAGGAATCATCGAGAGGTGTTTTATATGGATAGATATGAACATTAACTTTGTTTAGTCTTATTTATCCGCATTGCGACATTTTTTATATATACTACGCATGCGTAAAAGTCAGTTCTACTAAATTACTTACAATTTATTCATTGAACAACGCAACGACCACGGATGACGACGTACATTTTAATTTTGAAAAAGACCTTTCAGAATCGGGTGTTTTGACGATGCCCTTTATCGATTACGCCACGATGCCTAGTTCAAGTTTTCAACCATATATTCTTATGTTTCGGAATTTGCAAAAAACAGTTTCCGTCATCAGGTAATTTTTGTAAAGCACTAAGATTTGAAGGATTTTACTCCAACTAATGTTTAAGCATTTTCTATGAAATTGAGAGATTATTTTTGATGTATTTTTTTTAATGCAACGGTTTCTCTTTTGTGTGCAGGTTCCGAACTCGGAAGGATTTTTACTCCAGCCACTCCTTAAAACAACGAACGACAGACACTCGATAAAACCATGCGGGACTAGGTGGACAAATGGTCATAAAATACCGAACGAAATCAGATTCCGTTGGAATTTCATGAGCAAACTTTTGTGCTAAATGCGGAAAAGTCGGATATTTAAAAAAGCAAAAAAGCCCAAGGTTGTGTGCAAGAAAACTATATTTCTCATTCATCTTTTGTGTCCCTTGGATTCTATATATGTTCCATGGATCAATCATTGTGAAATGAATCTTGTATATAGCAATTAATGAACGGTGAATTTAGGAAATTTATGATCGGAACCGCGGATGCTTTTACTTTAATGAATGTGAGATATTCAATTCACTTTGGATTATTTGTGCCATTTTCAATAGGATTTTTTTTTTGGTGAAATATTAACATTTAACGCTACTAATTTCCTACGTTGTTCATATTAAATTGTTTGATTTGTCATTATTTTATGTTTATTTATTTGCCTCGCCCTTTGTTCTTATTTGAATGTTACCTGTACCAGTCCAATAAGTTGAATCTACTTGGACACCTACAGGTAACTTATTGGACGGGGTGCAGGACCTTAACAATTTCATTGAACCAATGTTTAACAAAAGATGACGTCACAAAAATGTTTTAATTACGGGTATTGGCCATGCATGCCGCTGGGAAAATACAAATAATTCAATGTAGCAGTAGAAACATACATGTACATTTAAAAAAGGAATTTGACAAAATTCCTTCAAAAAACATAGCCGTAGAAACCGGGAGGGGTCCGGGGTCCGGGGGAGTAATTTTCCCGATATATAGAATACTATACAGCTGTAGAAAACTAAGCTACATTATGCCTGTGTCCCCTCAATAAATATGTTTGATATTAACCTTTTTTTTTTTTGCTTGTCAAGGAATTTTTCATAGTTAATAGTACCCGAACTGACCCCCCCCCCCCTCTTTTTCCCCAAAACTGAAATTGCTTCTTACGACCCTAAAAAAGGATTTTTCTACTGCTGCATTAAATTTATTTTCCCAGAGGCATGCATGGCCAATACCAAACGAACATTAATATTCAAAATATGAAATACCGGTTTCAACGTAGAACAACGAGAGTCAAGATGCAAGTTCATTTTGGCTTTTGTCAACGCAACCTCACAATGCAGAAAAAAATATTTAAAATATAGAATTCAAATAAACCGATTGCAAACAAGGGATAAAGATAGTGAATGTCAATCCCGAGTTATATATTTAGTCAAATAAAGAAGATTTTGGTAGACTGCCTCTATGTATTTTTATCTGAAGTTATCGCCCTTGTAAAGTTAAATGACATAGGCCTAATCGTACTCTAGAGTAGGATTTTCCCCCGAGGGGAAATCTCACACCAGAGTAAAATTTCCCTCTTTATTTATCGGAGTAGGATTTTCCCGTCGTTATAGAGTCAATGTAAACCATTGCCGCAATATCTTTGTGAAAAAAAAGATAAACAGCAAACTGATTTTTAAAAGGTAAATATGTGGGTTTAATTACTTACATTGTAAGGCAAATAATGTAATCTCAAACCAAAATATTTAGCTTTCAAATGAAATGTAAATATTCTCAAAATATAATGAAACAAACAAAAATGGATGTCTAAGATTGGTATATATTTTTGACCTACATGTATTTTTGTTGTAATATGATTACAATAATAAAATTTCTATAATATTTAAAAATTGTAAACTTACTATGAGGTTCAAATTTTAGAAAGATGTTTTAAAATATTTTAGGGGGGGGCTGCTGTACAAGACCGTTAACATACATAATTATGTATGTGGTGGAGTAAAAAATGTCCTTGAGGTCCCCCCACTTAACCTGGAACAAGAAAAATGTTAAGGGATAAAATGTTAAGGGATAAATATGATTTGAAATAACATGATTTCCAATCAACTTTTAAGTTTTCACTAACCTAGTGGTGTAACAACACACCAATATAACAAATTATTAGTCGTTTTTTTACCAATTTTTCTTTCCGTGTTTATCATTCTTTGAAGTTTACTATTTTTGTCTCATCTTTTTGCCAATCGCAGATAAGATAATGGGCACTCCAAAAATATAATATAATCAGATCACTCGTTTTGTACAAGACATTTGGCAATTTTTTTTAAAAAAATACAATCTTTTTAATTATCTAGATATTTCTCAAGCATGAAGCAAGGTTTGCTGGAAAATATTCCTGGAAAAACATCGTGCGCCAATCAATGCATTACTATCAAATCTTATCCTGGACAACCAGAACCGAAATGGACAGGGACTTTGTAATGTTTCAAGATTGAAATCCTGAATCATCCCTGTAAGAATATATAAATTCGAGGTTTTTTTGGAAGAAAAGAAACTGATAAGATTTATCGCAAAATTATGGACTGTAACACCAACAAACATGCATGTGTTCTCTGTAGAAACCACACATACTTGTGAACAGAACCCCCCCCCCCAATATTCAATATTTCTTCATAAATTAGCCGTTCTAACCTGTGATTTCTTGCAATCTTGGTACAGTTTACAAAAGTTCCATGGGGTCTTGTTTGCGAGTTGCATATGTAAGGACAAAGGCAACACCAGATTACTGAGGAATTTCTCGTAAATTTCCCCCATAGAACGTCTTACCCTTTGTCAGAGGGCCAGGACTGGCTTCCAACTAAACGTGATGATGACATTAACGCGAAACAGTCACTTTCCGGTCAGGTTATTTGTCCTGCCACCTGTTCAATCGCCACCTAACTACCACAAAAACCGCTACCATTACAGTAGACTATCATAATCATTACATTCACCCAAAAACTGAAAGAAACCAATTGCGCAGTTTGAGTTTTTGAGCCGGTCAACTTACATTTGTGTTCTCCTCACTGGCGCATTGTAATAATATTTATTTATATATTTCTTTCTTAGATTTAGATATCTAGGACACTGGAGAAGGAAATGAAATTCATCTTCTATTTAAGGAGGCTGGGGGGTCAACAAATTAATAAAAAATTAACCACCAGATTTAACTTATTTTTTTAGATACGGTATCTTAAGCTGTCAAAGTTGGCAAAGAAAAAATTCCTACATTTTAGTTTTAAAATTTGATCATTTTTGTATATCTTTATATGGAGCTATTCTTTTAAAGGAGATTGAAATAGTCTGAAAATGGCTGCCACCCCCAGCCTCTTTAATGACTATCAATAACACAGTATATTCTATCATCTCTGCTCTTGCCTGGTACCTTCCGCATTCTATGTTAAGATAATACGACGAAATTCAAGTCTGATGCGGGAAATGTGCTTTTGTAAATTGATTTGAAAAGGTCTTGTTAAATAGGGTTGCTGGATTTACAGAAATCAGATTGGACAATGTGCTTATGTAAAAAACATTTTGTCGAATTATCCATAAATGCATTGCACTCTTGGATATAAATATCTAGGATTCTGTTTTTATATATATGCTCGAAATGAGCAAAGTTTAATACTTGTTGTTGATTCATCATGAAATTGATTTAAATATATACATGTACATGTAACCAACATGGGAAGCACATTTTACAAAATATTTAGGACTAAAACAATGAGACCACCATTACAGCTTTTCCGGACAGAAAAAATACATCTATTAAAATGTATCTTTTTTTCTAACTCTGACTTTTTATTGAATACACTGTACCTTATTATAAAGCATTAATTTAACTTTGATTAGGATATTTTTGATAAATCAGTCTTATTAAATTTCTAACCAATAATAGATTTTTAATTATCAAAGATTGATCATAGGTCAATAAAAAGCTCTTAATATGCAAGACTGCAGAGCATTAACTGGTAAGATTAAAAATATGCAGCTTACGTCATTTCTATCTGTTACAATCAAAACATTCAATGATAGACAATGAAACACGGGCGGGTACATTTTGTATTGTTTTATTAACTTTGATATTGAATACTGTTCGTTATCTCCATGTACACCTCATTTTGAATCGCTGCAGTCTCCTTACGATTCCATGCCGTTTGAACGGCAAACCGAACAGCAAAGGTTAGAAAGGGGTAACATTGTTTATAATATATGAAAGTAAAAAGTATAATCAGCAAATATTTAGATTTTTTAGAACCTACATATATATCAGTAATATAATCTTGTCATTAAAAAGCCTTTAAGATCCAAGCAAGAAAATACCAGAGCAAATAACAGAAGCTGCTTGCGAAGTTTCCATTATTCCAGATACAAGCAGTTTGCAGTCAAACAAAGTGGGTTCGTTCCCATCACAATTTGCCGTAGAAAGCCACTGGTGTGAATTTTCTTGGTGAAATATACTCGATTTAACAGCAAATCCAAAGCGACTGAAAAGACATTGATACACAGTATAAGGTACTTGTAGTAAAGGTTTGGCAAACACCCATTCTCAATATAAGGGCTCAAATAATGTCGCCTCATTTTCATTTAAAAGAAATACCACTGATGTAATTTCTAAATCAACATTATAAATAGTCATATAACAATGAATAAGAAATCATATAATTATCGATCTTAAAAGTTATTTAAAGTTCCAAATTCAAATATAGTAGCCTATCTTTCGCCGAGGCAAATATTATTCTGAATCCCCTCTGTGTAATATATAGTTTTGATTCTTAAATAAAAATTTTCTGATAAGTTAAACCTTGTATCATATTTATTTCTTTTCATAACAATAAATACATTTTCTTGGTGATAATAAATAATTTTTATTGTGCAAGGTCCCTGTCGCTTAATTCTATTTCAACAACATTACAAGCAAACACAAAGACTATACACCTTAGTTTTGTTCTCCTTTATTTATTGATGGGCTAAATTTGAAATTTCAATAGATTAATTACTCCTACTTAGATAATGTAACATGAAATTGAACAATTTGAGCAACTTTTATCAATATGTTTACGGAATGAAAGACATTTTCAATCGTAGAGATAAGAAAGAAATGTACGTTACCTTATTCCATTAAGAATATATATTAAGTAGAAAATATGAGACGACTCTGAATAAGCAACCCCTTGTATCCTGTAAACTGGCAAAGACGTTTTGCTTAACACAATTAAAAATTATTTTTTACATGAAAAGTGATCATTTGAAATGTACGTGACTGAAATGTACGTTACCATGAAATTCGAATTAAGTGAATTTTCATACTTTCATACGCTCAAATGTGTACACAAAGGAAAGTTTCAAAGGTTGGAGGTCGGCTAAATCCCAAAATTAATGAAAAGAAACGTTTCTGCTGAGGAAAAAATATTTATTAAGGTCAATTATATGTAATATAATTTTGATACCTGGTATATATTTCTGAATACGAAACCTGTATGATGCATTTCTTACGATATGCAAGTTCAAATAGTATCAAGAGGTATATTGCGTGTCTAACGTACGCTTGTGGAAGAGAATTAGCATTTTTATGTTTGAAATGTACGTTACGTATGCCATCAACTGACCAATGAATTGCGTTTACACCTTATCGTTACAATCCATTTGACAACTGACCACATAAATCCATCTAAATGCACCCCCAATCCGTAAAAGACTGTTACCACATGCTAGAACATTTATTTCTAAGTGTCTTAAATTCATTTTTGGCAGCCTTTTTGCAGTTTGTTTACTTTTAATATGCGACTTTTCGTCAATCTTAATTGAATTGTTGTTGATAATTTAAAACAAGGTTTTGCATAGGCTTATAATTGGTAAAAAAAAAAAGAAACAAAAAATAGAAAAAAAAAAGAAACAAATAGGCCTAAACCCATAACACAAGACGGTCACGTACATTTCAAATACTGAAAGGCACACAATACTCAGTTTTGTTTGAATCATTGCATTTTGGGTTAAATTTGCAGATCTGCTGAAAAGCACGTATACGATGTTCCAACATACTAAATGAAATTATTAACAAACTATCGATGGATATATTCGGAATAGATTTATGTTAAGTTTCAATGGCCAAACACGAGCATTTGTTAGATCATAGCAAAATACATCTGACTCATATTTTTTTGTCTGTACCCTTGCACACAGGTAGAAGTAACTAGGGTTGTCAATTTCAGCGAAACAGCACAAAAGAATGGTAATGAACTGAGGTGGAGGGGACTCTCCAATAATATGTGAAATGAACGTTACCGAAGTGACGTGACATTCATGTAGTGACATTCATGTAGTTGATGACAAATAACCTCACATAATGATTTCTTATATTACTGCCTTAAAACGCTTCATTGAAATGATTTTTATGTCAATAATTGCTTTTTTTTTCAAAATTTTTTATTACTAATTTACATATTATTACAAACTTGAAATGTACGTTACCTACTCATATTCTGAGGTAATCGTGTCTTTATAGTGGTGATTGCGACATATAACGCAATGTGATTACATAGAGAATCTCTTTTTTAATAAACTGAAACAAAACGATAGATGAATTTTAAGCTTTTTATTAAACAGAAATATATCTTGAAATGTACGTTATATTTACGTAGTTTTCTAAATCGATATGAATATATGTTAAAAAAGACAGTAACTTCAAAATAGAATTTTACTACATGTACATGTTAGGTTCCAGTATCTATAGAAAATGACAAGATTCCAAATTGATCGCTCTAAACAAAACAGAGAGAAAATTTTAAAGCATATATTTAAAAAATGTTTTTGTACATCTGGATCAAAAAGTAACCATTGTTTTTTGAAAGGAAAAATCAAACGCACGTTTTTATATAAGACAGAGTTGGTAGGATGTGCTGGTGTTTAGAATATTCCAATTGTGATTTTAATGACTACATTTTTTTTACATGTCTTTTTGGACATTGAAGAAAGAGTAATACATTTCAAACTATATTTCTGAATAAAATCACCCTCTGCTTTATCGTCTTGTCATTAGTCCATGTATTATAATTTGATAAAAAAAATCTGGAAACAAAATCTTCAGATACTTTCTTTCAAAGGTAATTGATAGAAAAATTGTGAACTTCATTTTTTAAAAAATCAAAGAGGCATTTGTGCCCTTATATTGAGAATGGATGAAAATCCGACCTTTTCAAATATGAAGTAACAAAACTGATTATATATACCATGAAAAAAAACTCGATATTATAATACTTTTCTTTCAAAATTAACTATTTGGTGGAATTATTATGCTTTACAAATAGCTTTATAAACATAATATATTTAAAAACTAAATTCATCGTATGTTATATAGAAGCTTAATGCCCAATTCGAGAATTTCACTCATACAGGGGGTTGTTGTAAAGTCGTGTGAATGTCAAATATCTGTTTAAAATGTTTTATTTTATCTAAAGTTTTGAAGTATATGAAGATAACGAACAGTAGAAGGAGCATAGCAAACACAGACCTCCATAATATCAGAGGTTGGGTCAGGTGCCATCGAACCCGCCCTGTGCTCATTGTCATGATCGAAAAATAACCGAAAAACCCGTCGACAATTCAGTGTGTAAATAATAGCCTAACAATAATTATGAAAAACGTGTCAGCATTTGACCGATGATAAGTTGTATTTGCTGACAAGGTCATTGTATCGACCAAAGAACTTTTTTTAAAAAACATCACTGATATTCTTGTTTCATCATATGTCAATAAGTCACCTCGTTTTAGAAATTGTACATATGAAATGTAAAAGTGATAAATAAAATGCATGTAAAATGGAAGTTGACGATTGGAAAGTTGAAGTCCTCACGTTTATCATAAAGCTTGGTTGTTAGAATACCATTAACATCTTTTTCAAAGAAAATATCCAAAAATGAAACAGATCTGTCGGATTTTTGTATCTTTTATCTCAAACTGACCTGGATATTATCTTATCGACATTAAAATAGAAATAACCATTCTTAGTTGACAGTACGTTGTCGATATATCTAAATGTGTTGAAAGCCACGCGTATTAGATTTTTGACTACTACTTTTTTTAATTTACCCTACTGTGAGAATCTAAATGTAAAATGAAAACAAAATAGCTAACTTGTGTCCCACTACCTCGGTTTTTGTAAATGTCTGCACACCGACTTTGCTGCGTTGTTATTCCAGTGGGTTGGATCTATCGTTCCCCATCTATCAGCCAAGAAGACCTCCACAACACCTTGAGTAGTAGTATTCCCAACCAGTCTTACCATAAAACTCTCCCTGTCTATAGTTATAGACTTTTGTAAGGAAATGTCCATAATATTCAACTTGGGTTTTAATTTTTTACTTTGATCTTAATTGCTAGAATTCAGTATAGAACATCATTTCTTTATAGGAAAAGAATCTTTCAACAAAACAATGTACAATCTATATCTTTAAGAATTATAACACATTGAAATTATCAATTTATATAATGAATACAATTGTATATTCCTTCATATTTTTACTTACAGTAAATCTCTCATGAGTTCTACATGCATAAAACGTAGTTGCTTTGTATTTAAACAACGCACTGAACACAACACACTGTTTACCTTGACAAATGAGCCCTGCATATTTTATTCGGTAATCGGAAAACCCGTTTATGGACAAAGGACACTGTAAAATATTTAGCTCGTTCCCTGTACATTTAAAGTCCTTGATCCAGACTCTGTAATCCAGGTATCCAAAGAACTCTGACTGTACGGCCAAAGCCTTTCTCCTACGTAATTTTAAATATGCAACGAAATACTGGAAAAATTCACAGGTTTTCTTGTTTAATTTCCTCTTTATTAAATATTTGAGATGTTAGGATACTTTGGATTTATTCTGCTAAAATCTTCAAAATGTATAACCTATTATTCATGTTAAGTAATATAATTATCTTGGTATCACTTAATGCTGAAATTTAAAAAAAATCCCCTTACGAAGAAAATCCAAGTTGTTTACACGCAACAGTTGCCTCTTCTTGTCCCCAACCGTCTGCATCTAAAGTTCCCCATTCATTTTCCAGGAAAAACCGTACAGTTCCATACCAACTTCCATTATATATTTCTAATACGTTTTCAGCTACATCTGTATAAACAATTGATCATTTAAAGCGAACTGTTCTGTTTTCACCGATCATTATAATTGTACGAGAGAGAGAGAGAGAGAGAGAGAGAGAGAGAGACAGAGAGAGAGAGAGAGAGAGAATTGTACGAGAGAGAGAGAGAGAGAGAGAGAGAGAGAGAGAGAGAGAGAGAGAGAGAATTGTACGAGAGAGAGAGAGCAGACCTGCACAAATAACACCAGCTTCTATTCTTGGAAAAAATTTGTTTCCCAAGACTTCGACATTACAGCTTAAGATCTGTGCATCTGAGGAACAGGAATCCTTTACTTTAATCCAAGTTAAGGTTGGTGTTACACCATAAAGGGTGTTATTTACAGCTAGACCAGTTTTCCTGAAAAGAAAACGAAGCATACCTCTGTATAACTGCTACAAATGTAATGCTTTAGTATACCATAATATTCATATAAACAAGCAGAGGCTGCTTTATAACGCATTCATATTAACAAAATTTACACAAGAACATTATGTCTTTTAGATGTCAACACCATGCCTACTGCATAGATCTTAACCTTTTTTAACATTAAGTAAATTACAAAAAATAATAAGCATTAGCTTTTTATAAAAGGACAAAAGAAGGACTTGTATCTTAAAAAGGTATCCCAAATTTTTAATGCTCCAAAATTACAATATCAAGAAATACAGATGTTAATGCTGTCTCTCTGCATTACCCCTTTAATCCAATCTGATTGCAAACAATATTCGCTGTTGAATGCGTCCAAGTGCTTGCGTCAATTCCTCCCCATTCACCGTCCAAATAGACTTCCACTCTTCCTGCGGTGCTTCCATTGTTAAGGCGAACTCTAAATTCCGCATAATCTATTTAAAAAAGCATATCAAACATGGGTCAACTTAATTAAGGATCGACAAAAACATGTCAAGTCCAGTTATACCTATAATTGTGCAAAAATGTCTGCGTCAAAAGTTCGAACTAAATTCTTTATTTTGATTTTATATGGATATAACTTGTTAAATTCACAGGTCCACAGGACTTAGCTAAAACAGCGTTTTACTGTATACTGTAATTTAAATGTTGAATTAGTGATTTTTTTATAGCTTTAAGCTTACCAGTGCAGACTACACCTGCAGATCCAGTTCCGTATTGCCCCGTTACTACGTTTGGACAGTCAATGAGATTGATTTCTGTTCCGTAGCAACTAACTTGAGTCAACCATTCCCAGTGGCTGAATCCGTAGACGTCATTTACAACTGGTAACGCTCTAGAGCTGAGCATTGAAAGAAAGCTGATGTTTAAAGAGCTCTCTTAAGCTTGACTGTGTGTCTATCAGATTTCGAAAAGAACTGAAAACTGTGATGCACACTTTGCAAAAACATTTTGAAGATGAGAATGAATGTTAAAGAAAGGTATACGTGATAGTTTGTTTACTCGCAAAATGAACCAGCCACGACAGTTTTAAAAAGCACAATTTCATATGTGGATTATACTTCAATTAAATAGGAAGTGTAAACAAGTACATAAAAATGTGATAAAAAATATGAGGTTTACATAAAACATCGAAGACGATGTTTATTAAGCATGAAATAAAAATTTATTTGCTCCATCTCAAGTAAGATTAGATATTCTACATCTTCTCAATGATAACATCATATTGGATAAAACTTGTACCCAATTAGTTTTACAAATCAAATCAAAAGAAATTCATGAAATACATGGATACGCTTTGTTTCTCCATTTTTTCAAAAAAAAAATCTCTGAACGAATTTTCTAATACAGTGAAAACTGTCAAATCCGACACCTGAATAATCCAACACACTGTAAATTCCGACGTTAAATTTCTTTCCCATTTTAGTATTTTCTTTGTTTTTAACACTGTGCAATCCGACACCCTGTCTATTCTGACACAAAATTTGTCTCTCAGTGCATGTCGGATTAGACAGGTTTCACTGTATTGCGTTTTATATCACATCTCTGAACAATATAAAGGTATATATAAGAATATATATCGCAGACTATTTGAGGTTCTTACAAGGGTTTCTGTAGATGTTTACAGAACAATGAAGCTGATTTTTCATTCCAGGCTTTTTTGTTGATTCCTCCCCACTTTCCATCAATTTGAATTTCAACCCTACCTGCAGATGTATTCGACGCTAATCGATAGTGTACACTATCTGTATCTAAATTACAAAAGATAAAAATGAATTATATTTATATATATGTAACCAAACTATTTTATTCAATTCATTTTACCGAATACAGTACTGAATTTAACACACAACTGATGATTACATAAATTAAATAAATCTAGTGGAGTACCAGTTTATCAATTTTATCTTTATCAAAGCATTACAGAATGAAGCCAGATAAGTGATATTGTTAAAAATAAACAAAATTATAGCGAATTTTATCAAAAATTTAGTGTCTTCTAAAGCCTCTCAGTTCTAGTATACTGAACGACATTGCAAAGTACCTGTACAAATTACTCCAGCTTTATAAGAACTGTAGTAAGACACGCTTCCCATTTTGATACAGTCCAGTAGTGATTGTTCACTACCTAAACAGTAGGTGCTCTCTATCCAATTCAAAGAATATATGGAACCAAACATGCTACTCCTAACAGGAAGTGATACGGAACTGAAATGACAATAAAAACTTTCAAGCTCGAACTCTTTCATTATACCAGTGGAGAGGATTTTAAAGAGTTTCAAAAGATCTTATACAATTGTCTGAAAAGCAGAGCTTATGTGAGGTAAAGAGCTCAAAGACTTTGGTAAGCAATTATACAAGGTTCTAATCAATTATGCTTCCCCCTCTTTTTCTTCTATTTCTCAGTGGATGGTTCTTGTACCGGGTTAGTCTGAACTTTGATAGTTTTGGTCTTATGAATGGTTTTGTGACTGCAAGAACTATACCACTGATCTTTTTAAAAATCATAAAGGATACCTATAACTTCTCTATCTTATCAAACTTTGATAGCTTTAAAAGCTTATAGTCATTACGGCGATTATCATAAGAAATCGGCGGTTGCCAAAATAGTAGCTACAGGAAAACAGAAATGAATTCTTTCATTAATTCAACCTTTATCAAACCAAGTACATTTAGCCATCTGATCGAAGGGGGGACATTATATATATTATTCATTGCTTTACACAGGTCGGAGAGAATACTCGAAATCGGGTATTATCCGTGAAATCGCGTATAATACTCGACATTAGGGTATCGTTGAATCCGCGAAATCGGGTATTCCGTGCAACTTTCTATAAAAACTAAAGAATAAAGCAACGGCGCATTATGCCAGTAACTGTTACTTGTACATCAGTATCTTGTGGATTTATTTTTATTAAACCTAATTCATACGGTTGTCAAATAATTTTAAAATCACACGACAAACACTGCTGGGGTAACAAAGAGGACACAATGGCGTTATAATTTTTCAATAAAATTTCTAAAAACAAATAACTACACTTCGTTTGTCTTTATTTCCCATTAAAGTATTCCATACACTTAATTTTCTAATATGTGCACCATTCACAAAACATGAAATTTTAAAGAAATTAAACGACTAACGCCGTGTTATGTATTTTTACTGAAAAATGTATGGCGTCCCTTTCACGTGAAATATAAATTATTCCTTAAAGTTAGAGAGTACAGTATAAGAGAGTCATAATTGTATATCTCTGCCATAATAGAATACCAACGTTATTATAAAGAAGAAAATAAAATAAGATTAAATAGATACCCACGGGAAAACAGTTTGAAAATAGCTAATTGAAGGTGAGTTTATTATGTCAATTTAGCATGAAATTTTTATTCAGAGACACCGTAAATTTTTTGGTTGCATTTTAATCGATACAAGATATGCTATTTTACCTTTATTTTATGCATTTGTGTGAAAATTGAGAGCAAGAAGTCATATGAACAGGATTTTCTTGTTTTTTTTTGGGGGGGGGGGGTATAAATAAAAGACAAATGTGTACATCTTTTCATGAGCTTATAATACATTGAATTTCTCAATATAGATTGAGGTACAGTCATATTGAAACATGAATTACATAGTCAAGTTTGCACATTTCTTATAGTTTTTACGTTTATGAACATGTTAATGAACAAAATGAAATAATGGAGTGTTCAATTGCCTTAGGAACTCTTGTCTTACTTTTTGGGAATATAATTCCTCATCGGACATTAAAATTTCATAAAAAATCGTAGCTACTTCCTTTCTTTATTATACTATTTGATAGACAGGGTAAATTGTACCTCTTTACCTTCTATATTTTTTTTATATCGCTATCTTATACCTCATTATAATATGCTAATACAACGCACTATCTGATTGGTTGTAGACAATATGTCACAGTTTTCTTTTAGTTATTTTATCTATGATATGTATTACTCATGGCAATAACTTTTCCTAATACTCATCTATAATGAAAAAAATTGTTTAAAAAATAAAATTCTAGTTGTTTATAGTCTCATATTGTGTTAGAAAATAACAGGTTGCTTTTTGTTTACCTACAATGTATATGATTTTTATTTGATGAATAAATCTTCCCTACGATCAAAAATATATGACCGAGTTTAACCGACCGTGACATTCAAAGAGAGGTCTCTTGGACCCATGTAGAACACAGTCGAGGTTGTTTTGTCATAGGTGGTTAAGAAGCCTTTAGCCCCCCCCCCCCCCCTTTTGAAGTCGCCAAGAAATGAGAAAATATTGATAACTTAGCGAAATTAAACGATCAACAGTTATCTTCTCTCACAAGCTGTATTCCTGAAACTATCACTGTCTCTGCTAAAATGTTGAAGACATATTCTGCAAATATGTTTGAATGATAAATAAAAAAGAAAAGATTTTCAAAAAAAAAGAGAGAAAGAGGGTTCTTTTAGCCGAAATTTTAGACATTTTTATCATTGCATTATTTATACATTCATACATAAATTTGATTTTATGCACAAGATGAATGTGAAAGTAATCAATGACACATAATTAGATACGATAGACAACCCCTTGTATGTACATGGCATCATATCTGGTGTGTGAAATGTGTTTCCGTATTATTTGATTTATTTACAAATTGTTCATGTTTGTCGTGTTGATGTGGAATCATTATAAATTCCCGAATTCTGATACTTTACAATTCTGTTGTGTTGGGAATTAACATTAGGAAAATGTATATACTTTCAACATAAGGTAAAATATAAAGCAAATCGAACGCCTTTTTTGTGTGCAGATCATGAAATGTACTGAGCTCCACGGGTATTTGTTGTCCCGAGTGCATTAATCTTGAAGCCCAAATTCTTACTTGGCTAGTGATACCTTTAGAAAACATGTTTATCTAGATGAAAGTTAACTCGGCAACATGCGCCATCCCATTGTTTAAGTTTTATTAGGTGATTACACCTCCTATACCCGATTTCGCGGATTCAACGATACCCTACTATCGAGTATTATACGCGATTTCACGGATAATACCCGATTTCGAGTATTCTCTCCGACCTGTTACAAGGAGAATTACAACTCCCGTTATGCAATTGAAAACGCAATTTTTCTGCAAGTAATAATGTTCGTGATAATTTTCTATTTCCATTTCTCTTCCGTGGCATCTGATTCCACCCATGTTCTCAGAGGTCTGGGTTTTGCCCTTTCTCTTAATCTGTATTTTTTATTTGACTTTTTAAAAATGGTCACTTTTCGTCACAATTTCGTCGCTTCTACTTACTGTGGAAGACCAAGTTGCCTACAGGCCACGGTCGCAGCTCCTTTACCCCAGGTGTAGTGTCTGTAGGGCCGAGTGTGTGTGATAGTGCCCCACAATCCACCAAGGAACACCTCAACATAGCCCCTGTTGGCTGTCTGATTATTCACCAATCTTATCGAAAACTCGTTAATATCTGAAATCAAAAACAAGACATAATTTTCTATGTAAGAATATTGTCGAATTTCGTCCGTCCGTCCGTCCGTCTGTCAGTCTGTCCCACTTGGTTTTCAGCACTTTTTTTTCAAATTCTTGCAGCTATTGAGCGGATTTTTGTCATGTAATGCCCTGTTCACAACTTATTTGTATATAAGTTAATGTTCGAATTTCTATCCGCTTCATTGATTTTTGACGGAATTATGGCATGTTAAAGCTATATATGCCGTATTAGTGTTTTATTTTAAAAGTAATAAATATATGTGGTGTCTCATCAAGTTATATAAGTTATATACTTTCTGCAAATAAGACAATTCCACTCCATCACTTTTAAAAGTTATGAAATATTATTTGGTAAAAGTTATTTTCTCTCCGTGTCGGATAAAAAACCGCCTCTTATTGAAATATTCATGATCACGTTGTCGCGCATGTTTACAGCAAACAATGGTCCAATCTCGTGAATGAACCGAAAAGCATGATGGTCTACTACGTTTTTACTACAAACACGTGAGTTAGGGATTGTCAATATTGAGAGCACCTCAGAGTTGGTTGCTTTTCGTACCGACGAATAATCACGTGCAATTGTCTTTTCAATGGACATTTTCGATCGGATGAACTTCTACAGCTGTCAGCGACTATGGATAAAGAAGTGTGGAAACCATGTTGTGCCAAAATGAAATAACCAATACAAACAAATGATATAATTTGATCAATCAAAATGGTTATTAGATACATTCGATTCTGCATTTCTTAATGGTTCAAAACAACAAAAGTATTCCACAGAATAGCATGTATAAATCTGCACAATATACGAATGCCAAAACCAGAATACTACTAAATAATATAATTATATTCTTTACATATGAATCACAATATTTCTGACCCCTTGAAAATAATATAAAAAATCTTGCAAGTAGGTTATCAGCATTGGCTCGGGCTAATTCGAAAGTGAAATTTGGAGTTTGGCGGTAAATTGTAGTGAATGAATAAAATTTAGTAGTGAAAGATATTGGAACCTATTTTACTTGTCAGATTTCTTCGAGCTAGTTAATTTTTATTCTAATTGTTCTATCCCCCACCCACTTAAAACAAAAAACGATGCTACCTACCTGAATTAATTTTTCTTAATGGTGTTCATCGAAATGCTTGGTTGTGCCCTCATACTGGAATAGTTTTTAGAGGCCTGGAATTCCTTGACCAATTTTATTTTATTAGCCCAACTATATTTCTAAGAAGGCAAGATGTATGGAATGTAAGTTTCATCTACATATGTTATGTAGTTCATATTAAAAAACCTAAAGGGATAATTGACGATATCCCATTCAGGTTGTAACCATAGCAGTTTAAATTACTTTCCATACATTGTATTTGACATAAAATATCTATTGCGCATAATGCGCTCCATACTGAAGATCCGTAAATGTTCACCCAACCGAAAATGTCCACTAGCAGTACAGCACGGGGAAACTCTAAACAAACGGACCTGTACAATGGAGTGGGGAAAACTTTAATTTTCATCATTGTTAATCATTTGTATGCAAATATGAGCATGGAATTAGTAGATAATAATGTACATAATGCATCATGTCTTTCTGAGAGCGATTTAGAAAACTACCTTTTTGAAAAACACATGTAGTATTTTATGTAGTAACCCATAAATGCATTAAATGCAACTCATTGAGCTGATTGGTCTATTTGTGTCCCTCACTGAACAGACGTCACAAAAATATTTTCCTCGACCTGATGATTCTTGCGATGATTTTCCCGCGCACATGCGCAGATCCAGGATAAATAATACGTCAGTCCTTTATAAATATGCATTAGAATATTATGCTCTTTTCCTGACCAGTACTTTGTTAATACCAAATAAAATTTTGTCGAATTTGCAAGAATGCTTCACTTTTGGTAGCTTATCATACTCCAGAAATTTTTGTTCGGTTTCAGCTGTGCAAAAATACTGTTTAATACGGCATACATATCTTTAAATTATTTTTTATAATTCGGACTACGATCGGGTTCGTGATGCACTAAATTTATGTTCCAGACGAGCTTGTATCCTAAAGAAAAAAAGGGGGGAAAGAATGCTTCTTTAATTTACTGTGGAACTGATTTATTTCTTGAATATCCAATTGTTCTAATAAGGTCATCATCCCATTCGCACAAAATTTTTCTCGGTTTCATTGAAAATTTTAAAATGGACAATTTTCCTTGCCATGATCGGGAAATAAAAATCCGTCGATTTAGTGTGTAAAAAATGGCCTTACAATTAGTATGAAAACCCTTAGTCAGCATTTGACTCAATGAAACTCGTATTGGCTGATAAGGTCATTGTATCGACTATATAACTCACTAAATGATTACCATAAACGAGACTGTTGATATTCTTGTCTCACTAACTTGTTAACCTATAGATTACTTCGTTTTAGAAATTGTTCATACGTAGAGCATGATCTTGCGTATCAAATCAACTGAGAGATGTAACCCCCGTATGCAGGTGATAAGGGTATATTGCTGCGTAAGTAAGGGAAGTTGATAATTGAAAAGTTAAAGTCATTTCGTTTATCATAAGCCTTGGTTAAGTTAAACATCACCGAAATATGAAAAGATGTATCAGATTCTGTGGTATCTTTTATTTTAAGTTCGCTGGGATATACAGTATCGACATAAGACCGGAAAAAACAAGACTCATCATTATATATAACTGCAAGATTTTGAAATGATTTTTTTTTATTAATTTTAGTTGCCGTGAAAAAAAATAAAATGTCAGTCTTTTTTATAGGATAGATTTTGAAAGAAAGGAGTATTATCAGGAAAACTGACTGCCAAAAAGTAGAAATTATTGTTCAGTAAAAGTGTTGGAGGGAGGTCCCTGGATCCCCTCTTACCACCCTCACCCGAAAATATATATATTCGCTTATGTTTTATTCACATGAAAAAAAGTAATAGTCGTTTAAATAGCTTTCCAAACTGAACAATCTGTATCAATTTGGAATTTCCCGATCTATTTTTAGATCAATGTTGAGGAAATAAATCCTTGTACTGACCTGGAACGTCACGTGCAGGTCAATACAACGTAGATTTTTCTAACATAGATGAATCTCAGCCAATCAGGGAGATGGAAATTATTCAATCATATAATAAATTTTATTATAAAAGAATTTGGCTAATTATCAACCTATCGCGCTGAAATTTTCAACATTTTTTTAATTTTCTTTCCTTGTAAATTGTCTATACACATACTACATAATATCACTATTATGAGCCAAAAAAAAATAAGGACTATTAAACACCGTGTTCATGATATGGTACTTTAAAAATAATATTACCTTGACAAACGACCCCAAAGTTATTTGACTTTGAGAAATAGCCACTTATTTCCCAGGAACACTGATATAAACTGGAAGCATCACTAGAGCAGTACAGCTTCACTAGCCAGGTTATGCTTGATGATTTTCGATAAAATCCCGATTCCACGTAAAAAGCCTTGGTAGATGAACTGAAACAAGAAATTGGCCGTCATTAAGAACCCTCTCTACTCTGCACACCAAAGAGTTCTGATTCTAAGATATTTTTCTGCGGTTAGAGTGATCTGCCCTTAAATATAAATTCTAAAAAATAGAAATTCTCAATATATTACTCAATATGTAATCAATTCAAGTATTCTTAACATTTTAAAAGGCTAAGATAAATTAACTGAATGTGTTATTTACATGTATTTTCTCTATTGAAGTCATTAACAGTGATTTCTATTTACTGATACAGTGTTGTCTTTTATCATTTTTCCCGGGAGTAAATGCCACGCACCATACATTGAAAATTAAACAAATATGCTCTGACAACATTAATCCTTTTATACAATATATTTTTCCCAATGTCCAAAAAAATCTGCACTTGTGTAGAGAGGGTCCTTAATTTAGATCTCATTTCTGAGAAATGCCATGACAAATGCACTGGACAGAAATATACTGAAACCATTAAAAACCTGATATCATGATAGAAGTAAAGGAAACTGAATATCGTTTGGGAATTAATCAATTATTTCGGGATAAGGCATTGTCACTTAAGCTTTGATTTATCAGTTTATACACAATAAGTAAACAAACCTCGGAGTTCCCAGAATATTACAAATGGCCTTAGCTGTCATGTCTTTTTCGATAATGTACGAAAGTACAGATCCCCACTTCCCATCAATGTATACCTCCACTCTTCCGGAAGTTGGCGTATCGCCATCAACGAGTCTGACCGGAATCGAGTCTGAGAAAAGAAATTTAATTATTTTGGCTGACAACTCTCTTTTATTCAACAAATATTGCACTGCAATTGAAAAATATCAGAATGCTCACACATTACTTCAAAATAAATTTGTTGATAATCAAGTGCTCAACAAAATAACACCGTCAAATATAATCTTGATGTTAATATTTTGTTCAGAAAACTGACAGTTTTGAAATGATGATTTTTTTTTGGTCAATTGAAAAGTAAAATTACCTGCACAAATAACTCCAGCATTGTTTGAGAAAGTTTGTTTTTCTCCTTGCAGATTGAACCAACATTGAAAAAGATTATTTTCAGAACCAGTACACTCCGTGTCGGTCATCCAAGACTTCCCCAAAGTTCGTCCGTAAAGTCCATTTTTCACGATCATGGCTGCTCTCCTATGGAATTTGTAGTTTTAATGTATTGTCTAGAGAGGTAAATCTATGTATCACTGTTTTCATTTACGAAATTATAGATGAGGAGCCAATATTATAACAAATCAAATATAGAGAGAACGCCTATTAGCTAATAAGCTGATTTGTAGGGCAAATGTTGCTTATCGTTTTTAAATAATAAAACAAATTCGCTGACTTTATACTGACCGTCATCTCCACTTTATAATTTAAAATTTGAAAGAAAAAGGATGTGTTTTTCAAACACAATAAACAATAAATTCAATCAAAAGGTTAAAGGTTTTGCGGACAAACAGACAGACAGGCAGCTGGATAGACAGGCGGACAGACTGGATTAAAAGCAGAAAATTGTCGACTACAGGGGTATAAAAACAATTTCATTGACATCTGTACACGTCTGACCAATAAGTCATTCTCAGAATATCTTTTCAAGTCGAAATTCATTCAATCTGGATCATAAGCGTTTAACCTTTCTTTCCATAAATAAAAATGTTCCCATCATATAATAATAGTTATTATTCTAATATGGAGAAATATAAAAAAGAAAGGTTAAAAACGTCAAGCGCCCGTGATCTTGACGACACGGATCAAACAAGCAAATTCAAAGAACTGTGATCCACCACTTTTGGTGTCTTAGTGGATGGAATGCACCTATTTATGGCAAATTGTGTCAAATATTAACGCCATATCATATGCCATACTATGTTATCACCAAAGTTAATCGTTGATGCCCCGGCATACTATATTAATTAGACAGCGATTCCTTAAAACATTTCGTTATTGAAAATGGCATCTCCAACTACCTAAGACATCGCTTGTTAATTACATTATTCATTGTTATGACTGCAAGATCGCGATCATTGCAAAATATACTGGAAATATGATTTTTTATGAGTACCACCATGTTCTTTGGAGCATATGATTTAGTTAACTGATGATGAAAAGTATGGTTCCGAACATGAAATTAACGATCATGCAATAACCATGAATCATTACAAAACAATTATTTTTTTTCAATTTTCTTTCTTCAGAAAAACACATAACAGATTTACCAAGGTAGGTCCTGAGATCGACAGACAAGTCTGGCCGCATGATAATTCCATCCGTCCGTTTCCACTGACCCCCAGACATCTTGAATTTGAACTTCCACTCGCCCAGAAATATTGGAACCCCCAACCAACCTTATACTGGAATTAGCAATCTCTAATCCTGAAAAAAGTTTTTAAACATTAAGAACGTTGGAATACATAGATGGTCCCGTTTTATACATTGTATTAGAAAAATATTACTCCAGTAGTTAAATTCGTTTGTTATATCATTTTTACATGAAAGACATTGTCTGTCTTTTATCGTTGTATCGTTTACTGTTCCATTCTTTAGTTACGGCGTCTCCAACTATTATTCGCGTGCGAGAATTTTTCGCGAAGTTCGCGACAGTCTCGTCATCGCGAACATTTCTCGTCGCGAACCGGTACCTAAAGTCACTATGTTTATTTACAACAGATCGAAAAAGATCATATCGCGAAAATTAATCGTCGCCAACTAGTTTAACCTCGATAAATCGCGAAATAAAGTCGTCGCGAATAAAAGTTGGTTTACAGTAAGTGAAAACACTAGAAAACACTAGGTAATAATTCAATATGTATGATTTGAAGTTTTAAATCAAAGGAACAATTATATTTGAATTTTAAATTGACATTTCTAAATAAAATATCACACCTTTTGAAGGATATACATTTCTAAATAAATTTTATGTCACACCTTTTGAAGGATATGGAGATAACGAACAGTATTCAATATCAAAGTTCAGAAAACAATACAAAATAGGGCAGAGCAAACACGGACCTCTAAAACCTCAGGCGTTGGATAAGGTGTCATTTAGGAGTAAGAATCCCCTACTAACGGCCACACCCGCCCTGTGCTTCTTGTCATGATCGGGAAATATTCGTCGTCAATTCAGTGTATAAATAATGGACTAACAATTCTTATTAAAACGTCAGTCAGCATTTGACTCAATGATAAATTGTATTTGCTGACAAGGTCATTGTATCGACCAAAGAACTTACAAAATTATGACTTTAAACGAGACTGCTGATATTCTTGTTTCATCAACTTGTTTGTCAATAATTTAACTCGTTTTAGAAATTGTTCATACGTACAGCATGTTTTTGAGTATCTAATCAACTGAGATATATAAACGCCGTATGCAGGTAATCGAAGGTACAGTATATTGTTGCATAGGTAAGGGAAGTTGACGATAGAAAAGTTAAAGTCATTACGTTTATCATAGAGCTTGGTTGTTAGATCTTTTTCAAGTAAAATATCCAAGTACGAAACAGATGTGTCAGACTATGTATATTTTATCTCAAGCTCACCAGGATATATCGTATCGACATAGGAATGGAAATTACCATTGTTAATTGACAATAATTTACGTCGTCGATATATCTAAATGTTGAGTTGAAGGCCACAGCAAGTGTTTTCTTCTATTCACGTATAAGATTTTGCACATATTCTGCTTCATATAAATTCAAATATAGGTCTGCTAATACGGGAGTGCAATTGGTACCCATGGGAATTCCAATAAATTGTTGGAAGACCTGGTCTCGAAAAACCACATACATTTTGTCAATCAGAAACTCAAGAATCATTTTGATGTCAACTTCAGAGTACCTGTGTGTGCAATCAGAATGTTTTTAACAAAATAGCTTTTGCAAATGACCAATGACCAATGATAAATTTAGCTGAGTTCCATTTTTATTGAAAAAGCAGCTGTCAATTATATCAAAAAGCCTGGACTTTAATTTATCATGGGGAATGGATGTGTATCAAGTTGAAAAGTCGTAAGTTTTAAAGCTGTTGATTTTTGTAAAGTCTTGTGATTTCAAATTGTCCAAAAGTTCTTTAGAATTCTTAAGTATCCACATCTGATTCACATCACTTCTTGAATATATTGTTGCACAGTACTCTTGAAGTTTTTCCTTCACTACTATCAATATCTTAGTGAGAAATAAAGAGGCTTGTTTGAACATTTAATGGAACCCACAATGTATCTTTGTTTGTAAGGATTCTTATGAAGTTACGGAATCCAATACATGTATATATATGGTAGTTAAAAATCATTTTGGTTCTTCGAGATATTAAAATTTTCAAAACAGACATATGAGTTTGAAGAATTTCTTCCATAGAAAGGGAACTATGAGTATAAGTTGGTTTACCACTTGTAGAACTGAATCCAACTTCCTCTAAAATACATTTTATATAATAAGTCTTAAAAACAAAGACAATTTTTTTATCTGCTTTGTCAGCAGGGAGCAGTACAATCTACAAAATGTACTTTTAATTTTATGTTAACTGGATGTAACCATAAGAAATCGCAATAAAAGAAATTAATATAAGACAATCTACCCTATTTGCTTCATATTTTGATTTTTAATCTACTACAAATAGTAATGGCCAACTTACAAGTAAACTGTACGACAAAAAGGATGATTTTTATTTTTTCCATCATGATATACTTTTGCTACTTGTATAGCAATATTTCTTAATCAGTTGCATATTGAGTCAATGTCTCCCAACTGATTAAATATTCTACAGCGGGCCCATAGAAAGCAATTACAGTTGGGGGGACACAGCCAAACATTTTCAGTTGGAATCAAGTAGCAAAATTCCTTGACAAGCAAATAAAGGTCATCACTTCTTTGAGGGGACACAAGCATATAGGATCAAAATTATTTCGAACAGAATTATAAGATATGGAAATACCTGACAGGTATATTATGATTAAATAAGAATATCTGGTTGTTTGACAATAAATCCTCTATATAAATAAAAGTAGATGGATCTGTGCATCAGATAAATTTCTCGGCGGCAATTGCATGAGCGTATTCTTTTATTTATTTGTGTTGATTCTGATATGGATCCGTTCAATTTCAATAGGAATTTTCCCAAATCTAAAAAAATATCAATACACTGTATTTTAATAATTTTTGTAATTTCAGTTTAGTTTCTTCTCATTTAAAAAATAATTATCTAGCATATCCTTCTTAGATGTTTCTTAATTCTTGAAAACTTTATTCAAGGGTGTAATTTTTATGCGCCCGGATCGATAGATCCAGGGCGTTTATTGTTTTTGTCCTGTCTGTTTGTCTGTTTTTCTGTTTATCTGTTTGTCTGTCTGTCTGTTGACAACTTTAACCTTCGCCATAACTTTTGAACTATAAGATATAGAGACTTCATATTTGGTATGCATACTCCACTAATAAAGTTCTTTCAAATGACACCAAGGTCAATGACCTTGTGACCTTGACTGTGACCTGTATGCTAAAAATAGCCTTTTCGAACTTTGTTGGGCGCATAGTGTTTCACAAAGACATCTTGTTTAAATTGTGTTTTGTAAATAATCTTTCATTAGAATATGATAAGTAGTTTTCACTTCTTGTGCAAATTAATGTAAGGCATTTAAAAAACACTGAAGCATCTTATTTGCCAATTATTTTTTTTTTTTACAATTGTAACATTTTTCCTTAAAAAAGAGCAATATGCATAAAAATACTCAGTATATTTACATGTATTTTAAAATAGTTTAGATAAAGATTTATTCTATATATTTCATGTATTTTAAAATAGTTTTGATGGCCCCGCCCTACCCCCGGGGGTATGATTTCTCCAGTCTTTCAATGCTAAGACCATTTCAAAAAAGTAATATTACCTATTTATCAGGAAAAAAAATTGGTGTAACATCCTCCTTAAATTATTTATTTGATGCAATTGGTCATTGACTCCGGTTGTGTAACCATTATCCGAGATCTAGATTTTCTGTCTCAGTTAGACATTATAGTACGCGTATCTTAATGACTACAGTCTGTTTAGATAATGGAACGGAACATTTTTTATGATGTATTTATCACAGTGAGTATAGATATCATAAGTCCATGTACCTATTTTTTCAAAACGAAGGTAGAGGCAATAATTT